TTATTCGGACACGTCTTTTACAATATCAGGATAGTTTTGACGAGCATACGCATAATAATAAAATATGAACTTCTGCCCAGATGAAAAATAAAAACAAGTTTGTCATAAAATTTCAAAAGTAAGATTGAGCCGAAGAAGAAAACATTCGGCGTTATTCCATATAATAATAATACCAAGTGAGTGACAGTTTGCACGGGTTCCTATATAGAATACGAATATGAATCGAGACATCAAAGTTATTATCTCGTTGTTGTTTTCATCAAAACTTCATTTTATCTTTATGTGATTGGTTACTTTAGCAGGAAATAATTCATATATTTGTCATAAAAAACAGCAGAACTGACGATGCCTGCTCTTTTTACTCATTTTTACCTGAAAGAGAACGTTTTTCTGCGAAAATTGGAGAAAAGTAAGCGGTGGCGGATACGAGACATCAAACGCAATGCTAATCAAGTCGGCGTACAAATAAAAAACAAATGAGAGTGGAAGCAAATAGCATTAAAAAAAGTGGCAACCTTGGAATTCTTTTACTCGTTCGGTTGTTTGTTAGCAACAGTTTATTTTCATGTGTAGAACTAGGTGCAGCTTGTTGTTGAGAGTCAATGAAAGAAAAACTTCCACATTTGAATTCGTAAAAATCTAGACAACAAGAGAGAACGTACCGACTATGCAAATAAAAACAGTGCTTGCAGTTTTAATAAAAAAAAATATTCACAACTGGCACCTATTGATCAAGCAAAACTACGCACTCAATATGAGTAAACAAAAAGTCAAGTACCGTTCCAAAACCATCAGGTGATGTCGTACGGCCACGGCGTCGCGTAGCTCGAAATTAAATGGTCATCTGCTTTGGCGGCAACATCGATCCGACAAATTGACAACTGCAAAAGCACATTGGAAACATTACGCTCGATCGTCAACGACGTGCATCTTTGCACGACATCAAAATAATGTGCCGAATTTCTCAATGAGATTAATGATGGAAAAGCTTTCATCATTACATCGGGAGCATCAGGTCATCATCTGGTGACAAATGTTCATGGAATGTCTCAAGTAGACGCAATTTATATTTTCTGCGGTAACAAGGTCCGGCATGAACAATGGGCAAAAAAGTGGCCAAAGATTCGTGGTGTTTTCACATCAATCGAGCCCATATGCGAATCCCTAGAAAATGTCGATTGTGAATGCGATCAGGATGCGATTTCAATGAGCTTAGTTCCAAAGGAAAATATAGCAAAAGAAAAAAGAGCATGGAGCCAAAACAGTCTAAACCAATTAGAACCAGGTATTCAGTGCCTTTCAAAAAAATAATATTGAAAATCGATGACGATGACGACACTAAATCTATGAAAACTTTCGTGACCTATTGCCACCGATAAAATATTCCTAAAGCAGAACTAAACGAATTTCAGAAGAATTACCATCAGAAAACACCAGTCTGATGGTAAACCAGTGAAATGTTTCTTTACAGTATGCTTAACCGTGCATTGAGGAACGTTGACATGGAGGCAATGACGAAATTGGGATTTTTTTTATTCGACATCTGCACTATTAACTAGAAGAACTTCACAAAATAACTACAATCTAATCAATTTAGCAAAAGGTTTACAGTTTATCGTGGTTTGGGGCTAACCAAACGAGACTTTCAACACCTAGCGGGCGCGAAAGGTGGGCTCTTTTCACTTAACAATTTCTTGTGAGTAGCTGTCTAATTCGAGTTCGAACCTAAATGGAGAAAAGAAAAAGTTAAACTAAAACAAAATCTAGGAATAGATTTAGTTTTAGTTTAAGTTTCCGATATATGCGACATATGAATACATATATACCCTTACAACCGCATCCACACCCCAAGGTATACAACCCAGGCACCACCCCAGGTACCCGCACCACATTTGAGCACTCCTTCGTGGTGTCCACCATCCACACCCTTAAGTACTCGGGACCCGGACCCCTTGTGGATACCCCTCCTACCCACACCCTCACTCGCACCGCCGCCCGCAGTTACCCCTTAGTCCCCCTCAACCCGTACCCACTCGATTTTAACTAAATCTATTTCTATCATTTATTTTCGATTTGACACCAGGCCGTTGGGTGTCCATTTATATTTGAATTCGAACTAGGCATCTCATGGTTATTTGGCAAAAATCACGTCCTCCGACACATCCAAATAGCAAGAGTGCGATGAATAGTATAGAGCGTGTAAAGAAGAAGCTATGAGTGTTTTTCCTCGCATTTACTTAATAAACACTTCTTTGATTATAATTGATTGTTTAGTATTTGCACCGACCGCCAGCAAGATCCTTCATGTTGTTCTGAAACCGATATATATATATATAGAGCGAACTGGTAGAGCAATGAATGTTGATATAACGTAAAAATAGCGATGTCAGGAACCATACACTTAACAGTAGCCTTGCAACGCAGTACACTACTTTCGCCATAACAGAATAACAAAAAAGTCATCCTAGTTTAGACTTTAATAGAATAATAAAAATAAATCATAACTCTCACTGCTATTTTATATAAATGTTCATTTTCAATTAAGAACACATACATAGATTTTATATTTAAATCTAGTTCCATCGGAAACATTTACTGTATCTGTCTTAACCAAAATCAAAATAGGTCACGATGTTTCAACAGTCATTGCAGCATATCGATCCTGAATGAAAAATAATTGCTTTTTTTCAATTTTTTAGTTTCAATTGCTTCAAGTAACTAAAAAAGAGAGGCACTCTTATTGGTGAGTTTGTTTTATTGATCGGCGCGAACAGATCTAAAACTAAAACTAAATATAAGTTCATTTATATTAAGTAAAATAATATTATAGCTTTTATTTCTGAAACAAAAAACAGTATTGCTTTTGTTTTGTTTAGAAGATGATTGATGGTCAACGGTTGATAAAATTTTATCAATCGAAGGAGTTCAATTGATTCTTCGCAGGCGAATGATACAGTTTATCAAAAGTAGATCGCAGATTTCCTATTGCAAAAAGAGAAAATTTTTCAGTATCGACAGGATGAAAAATTTCAATACGAACAACAACAGCAGGTGTTGAAATTTTTATCTGTTGTTTTGTAGAGTTATTCAACATCATACAGATGTTGCGGATCGAGTTCTGAGTGAACTACAAGAAGATCCTATACCGATTTGAGAGTATAGTCATAGGCGTCATTAATTTTGAAATGGTATGTTTCAAAGAAATGATAAATAACTTTCTTCTTTACTCTTTATTCACGATAAAAATGATTAGGAATACAAAAAAACCATTGATATAGTTTGCAAAGTTGATATAAACCGTATTATCTAAGCCGAAAAACTATTTGATATGGATTCCAGTTTATGTTTATGAGAACAAAACTTCATTCGTGCCATTTTATTTGTGCTTCAACTAGGGGGCAAAAATGACCAGAAATAACTCGATCGCTATACCAGTTTAAATAGAAATTTCGTAAAGTCAGATTTTGCTTCATACAATTAAATGTCAATTCAATTATTTTCCCTGTTTCCTGTGATCAATAAGATCAATTGGATCGTGTTTGCATAGGAGATTCTGCATTACATCATAGACTAAATCATGTTTCGTCATAGAGAAGCCTTTTCTTGTCGTCAACAACTTCATAATAATTTTATGTTAAAATATTTTGCACTGCATCACCATCATCAGAACATCAATGGAGATAATTATATTACATCTCGTTTTTAGTATTTCTCAATACCGTTCATCATCAGTGATTCAATTGCAAATGAAATAAAATACGAGGTCAAAAATGCTTCGAGTTAATCAAATAGTCTGTTTGTCTTTGGGAAGTTTTAATTAGAAATAAAAGTCTCTGCGAAGGAAAAAGTGAATACATAGTAGAATTTTTCGATTCATCTGGAAATGTAATTGTACATAAATATAAATATCTGTTTTTATGATGAGAAAAAAATAAATACGGATTCTATCAATCATTCTTACATAAATCTGATGTTAATAGAGAGAAGAACTACTTGGCAAAAGCGGCCATATGTTGCTCCTATCACTATATTTCTTTGTTCTCATCGAATGAACAGTACAAAAATTATTCACCGACGTTTTACAATTCATCATCGCATAATAAAAATCACTGTCCGTGTATGCTGGGAGCGCACGATAATGCATTGCACCTGACCAGTCAGAATAATTAAGTGACCTTCTCGATTGTCATGTATAAACAGCTGATTCTTCTTGTTTCATGTTTCTCGTATTAACAATGTTTGCTGGTTTTTTTTCTTCTACTAGATCTTTGAGCATGTCTATGACTACAGACACACGTCGGAGAATATCTTTGTTTACGTCTAGTCGTGTATACACAGCTTTGAGCATTACATATTTACTGCTTTCGATCCTTCAACATCACACGGTTCGGTGATCGATAAAACTAACTGAACAATCATACTTGTTACTATTGACCTTTTTCTTTCTTTCTTTTTTTCTCTTGTATTAAGATGAAATAGAACATAGAACACATTTCGTTTTACAATTGATAATACTTTGCGACAGAATCTTCATCGCCATATGAACAGATGATGTGCAGAATGGTCAACGCCCACTTAAGTCAATTTAACTATCTGGCATGACGAGTACATGTACACACATAAGAGTATATCTATCCCTCTCTGCATGTAACCACTGTTAGGGTCAACGATCTTCTTCTACATAAGATCAACTCGTAATACGTCTGCATATCATTTTCTTTTCTTGACATCAGGGCGACTGTTTTGTTTACATGCAATCAATTCTTTCTGTCTTGCAGATGTTAATGGTCATTATAATAGGAACGATGATCTTTTTCACCTATGTCGATTTCTTGAGTAAATAGACTTTGACGAGTATTACACATTGATTATTGAACAGTTCAAGGTAAGAGATGGAGAGAGGGAGAGAGAACAAAAAGGAACGAAAGAAAAAAAAGAAAAACGATTAGTATCAATCAAAACTAATAGTGTAGTTTTATTGCATTTTAACAAAAAAAAGTATGAAATGCAAAGAAGCTATGTCTCAAATTCTATTTGATACGATGCCCAGTTGGTTAAAATATCATGATGAGAAAGACACTCGGACTGTGCGCAAGGTAACTATAAATGAATTCGTTATTTAAACGGCTAATCTTTTTCTCGTGCTTATTTAAAAGCTCAATAGCTACATATTGATAATACATGGCTAATAATAAATTTGTAGACTTGGTTTCTTGTCGTTATTCTATCGAATAGTTGGATCGTGCTAATTTTGAACGGCAATCCTTTTCTTTCCCGCTCTCAATGAATTCTCTTGTTAAATCATGTAAGCGAATTTAGACTAGTTGGCGCACATACTAACGGGTTTGTATGTTACAATGGGATGATGTAATAAGCATTGATCGAATCATTGCGCAAGGATAATACATTTACACTTGTCGTCTCGCATTCAGTAGTAGTAGTAGTATTCTTTTCTTTCTCTTTTTTTTGACAAGGATGATGATGATGATGATGCGTCTATTGAAATACAAACAGAACCAGTTGTTTCTAAGTGTTAATTTGCAATATGTTTTGTTTTAGGTATATAGTATTGGTGATTTAAGCTATATGAACGATCGCGAACAATTTTCTTCGAATATGTCAAAATCTCAATTTGAAAAACTAAAATCTCACATAGGCTCATCGTCTAATTTGACTTCAAACAATAGTACGACGTTGACAAGTACATTTGGAAAATTGTTAGCTCGCGTAAGTATAAGTAGTAAATACAAATCACCGGTGTTAACTAACAATTCTATTTCGATGCAATCGGGCATTTTTTTCTCCTTCTTTGACCGATGTAGACGCATTTCCGTAGCGACCATTTAGAAGTGTCGGACAGAAAAAGAAGAAAAATTACTTTTCAATTTGTCATTAAAAAACTCACAATGGAACGCAGATGTTCACTTGTACATAAAGCAGAGTCGTTTTTTTTTAGAAATTAACACAACGTACAGTAAGAAATATAACAAAAAGTACCAACGATCTGAATAGTAATTATGAATGGTATAACTCTTCGATAGTAGACAAATATATGATACGAAAAGAAAATATACAATATGTCGAACGTATTGGTGAAGGGAGATTTGGCATAGGTAACTTTTTTTTTTTATTGGCTCAACTGAAATCTAAGTTTACTTGTGCGATTTTTCTTTATATAGTTTTTAAAGGATTATATCGAACAAAACAAAATGAACTTGTAAGTGATATGAGTAAAGAAAGAAATATTTGTTACGTAATTTTTCATATCTAGTTAGCTGTTGCTATAAAGAAATTCAATTCTGAATTTAACTATGACAATATACTGAAAGAAATACATATTTTTCACGGCATTAAACATCCGCATATCGTTCAATTGATTGGCATTGTTCTTGATTCGGATAATTCAATTATGTTTGTAAGTTAATCAAGCAAGATTTTAATTTATGTATAGACACTTAAATAGTTATTTAGATCAATGAATATGCTCATGGCAAATCACTTCATGAATGTTTAATATCAACAAATGCCAAGTCGGAATATTCATTAGAATTGTTACTTGAATATTTAAAACAAATAGCATCGGCCATGAGTTACTTAGAAAAGAAATCGTTGATTCATCAAAATTTATCTTGTCGAAATTTTCTTCTTTTTAAACAATCACTTGTAAATAGTTTTCGTATATTCAGAGAATTTGAACAATTCTTTTGTTTTTTTTTTGTTTTTATTAAGGTTAAACTTTCCGATTTGGGTTGTTGTCATTGGAACATACCGACGAGAGATCGATCTAGATTGCCCGTAGCATGGATGAGTCCTGAAGCAATTAGTTACTTTTGTTTTACAACAGCATCAGATGTTTTTTCGTTTGGCGTTTCAATGTGGGAATGTTACACTTATGGGCAACTACCCTGGGAAGGATTGACCAACGAAGAAGTAAGATTTGTTTAGGAATAGAGAACTTTTTCTAAATAGTATATGTTGACTAAGATGATTTCTTGTACTTCTGAAAGTCCCTACGGAAGTCTGTTAAATAAAAAAAAAATGTTTCTTGCTTCTACTAAGATTGCAAATGCTATCAATGCGTCTAATCATCAACGTTTGTCAAGGCCAGCCTATGCCACATCTGAGTTATATCAAATAATGCTTCATTGTTGGAAATATGAACCGTGTGAACGTCCAACATTTTCTCAATTAGAAAAAACATTACGAGAAGTACAACTTAAACTATGTCTAGAGACGCGAATCACTACGATAATAAAAATCAATATATTTCAGATTGAATTCAAACAAGTACGGTGGAAAGAAAATAATAATCATAAATCAATAAATTTACCCGATGGCTTTCTCTCAATAGAATCCTGTCGACGTGGACCATTGACAATTCTCGATCGATGGTATGTACATCAGATTTCGGCCTCTTAACATACATATTATGAAGCAGAGAGAAGCAACGGAATATGATGTGCATAAGCACTCATGTTTAAAACGCATTGTTACATAAACATACCTCTGACTACTTCTTCGTATGTATATAAGTGAGCAAATAGATCAGGGTCATTTATTTTTCTATTATGCGATGCTCAACGTTTTACTTACTTTTATCGATCAGTTTATTTTAAAAAAATCTATTTATTATTTTATCCTTGAATTACAAGTTTGGCGTTCGGATAAGAAGAAAAACAGCAAAAAAATATACAACTTGAACGCCTTTTTTTCTTATTATTATTTATTTTAGCCTCCAAGTTTCTCCTATATCTTCATCATCATCAACGGATGATTTTCTTCAGTGTGTTTCTGTCGATGGCCAAATAGGTTATGTTTACAATATCGACGTTGAGCCATTACACATAATATCTTTCTCTAAACAAAACATAACTACAGCAGCAGCAACCACAACAACTAACTCGCCATCATCAACGATGAACTATATATTCCATAGGAAAACAGGTAAGCAGACTTATCCACGACAAAATATACTGTTGATTTTGTCTTAGGCATAAAACGAAACGCAACGAAAACTAAACCAAAACAAATTTCAAAGGATATGATTAGTTCGCCGCAATCAGATTTTGTTCATGCATATCACATCGAAGCAACAGGTAAATTGACGCAAAAATTTAATTTCCTATTTTTCTATCATTTTCCTAGTGAAAGAAAATTATGATGCGCTCTGTATTACTGGCGTTAAACAAGAAGATGTTGTGATTGAACAAGCATCAGTACGGTTTCTATGAGATTATCTTTTTGTTGGCTATTGCCGTCTTTTTTTCTCTCTCTGTCTTTAGAGTATCCAACAAAATTCGTCTTTATTCGATGAAGTTATGCAAGCATTTACAGAGATTTATTCTGAATCAAAATCACCAACAATTTTAGCCCAAGACAGTGTCCCGCTAAGATCATCATCTCCAATCATCAATGTAAGTTTGTATAAATCACTTAAACTAACATTAACCTTTCCAAAGTACTTGAGAATATCTTGTTTCTTTTTGTTATCGTTACAATATGGAAAAAAAGCACGATTCTGAATGCATGAACTCGTCGTCAAAAGAGATTATCAAAATTTTGCTCAACGTATAGTTAAGCACATTTTTCTAGTGGCCACTCATGCGCCATAGATTTTTCTCTGCTATCCATGATTTATAGAATTATCTAGTTTATGAATTTCTCACGTTCTATTTTTCTAGACGTCACGACATAAAACTAATGATCACAGTATGGTCTAGAATTTCAGTAGAATCATCCCGGAGAGCAACAAAAAAAGAAGGAGCCCTGCTATTATGATAGAGTAAAAATAGCAACTTCATTGTCAAGGTTACATTAAAGTATAAATAAATATGTTGTTCAATAATAAAAGAAGACTGCTACTCCTAATGTTAAAGTAGCCAATCGCGAATTAGATTCGTCGATACTGCCGGTTAAAAGTCAAGTTTCGTTTTTTTCTTCTCTGAACTCCAGGGTAACTCGGCTTACGTATAATAAATAAAAATTTAGTCTAAAATATCGTTTTTTTTTAATTCTGCGTAGTCACGTCACGTATCAATAATATTGCCCATACGAGGAAATGAATGTACGTGACATGACAAATATTGCTCTACCTTTAGTTTCAATCACCACTTGTCAATATAAATCAATATCCATCAGATGACATAACAGGTAAACAAAAGGCATGTTCTGGCTGACCTTAATCAAGATAATCATTTCAGATTCGAATAATCTATCGACATCATTGGCATGTTATTTAGCTGAATTAAAAATAGATACATCAAATGAAAAATCCGGCCGATTAAATGGTTTGTCATGTTGCGTTATTCATTAAAGTTGATCTAGTTTTGGTTTTCTAGGTGATCTCAGTGAACCAGTAAAACCTACATATAATCTGTTGACTAATAGACGTATTAATAATTCATCGTGTTCATCGTCAACACACGACGAACGTTCATCGTCATCATCGTATAATCAAGAAAAATCTGATTCTCATTCACATTATTCATCCCTATCAACCGACAACGACGATAATCATTCAATACTTAGTTCGAATTCGCGAGCATCATCAATAAAAAAAACTAACCTAGAACAATCAATTACAGGAAAACCTCTACCACCACCACCAGATCTATCAAGTCTAGGAAGTAAATTAACTACTGCAACGGTCAAACATATTCTAGAACTACCGGCATCATTTACACCAAACAAATATCGCACAAAAAGTATGAATAATGATTACAATCTTAGCAAATCCTATTTTCAGAGCGACTATACACTTTCACCGCGACGCGCGACATCAAAATTTGCTTTTTTTGTTTTTTGACAACGAAAATATTTGACAATAGTTTTGCTTGACAAAACATGACTGAATACAAAATGCATCAATGAAACGTGACGATATCGAACCAAACCATTCATTAGTTCATACAATGAAAATAAAACAAACCCGAGAAGATCGTGTAATGGAAGAATAGATAGAGATTAGACATGTCTCTTTTCCTGTTGTCTTTGAACTGAATACAATAGATAGAAATAATTTGCTAGAGGAATTCTGCTTATATCTAATCTATTTTCTTTCAGATAGTCACACATGGGAATTAGCTTTCATGACCCATTCAATAGAAAAATAAATTAGTTGACATGTCATGTAAATAGTTCATCCTTTACCACTATCCATAGCATTTCCAAAACAACTATCAGATGGAGAATTTTACTGTAGTCGATTCAAGCTAGTGACCATTGGAAGGAGGCCGACTTGAAAGATATATTTTTATAAAGTCTCCTTCAATGGATAGACGCTTAATAAGTAAAGGTTCAGTTTTCCAGATGATCCCCAAGTGACCATTCAGTGCTTTATTCTCTCTCTCTCTTGTATTAATAGGGCTACATAAAATACAACATTTTCTCATCAATTAATAATTTATGCTGAATAGAGTGATTGCTTTTTCAAGGTTTTTATAGTTTCAAGAGGTCGTAATGAAATATCTTTTTACAAGAACAACAAATCAATGTTGACTTATTGGTGACTTTTTTTTCCTTTAGAACGATTCAATCTCTTCACTTAATAAACATATATTTCACTTGAATTAACATATACCGAATGTTTGATCAACTAGTCAAATGAATTTTTTGTTTGTGTTGCTCCGTCCCGATTTTTCTAACAAAACTATTTAAATTTGGCGTTGACTAAAACGACAATTAACATTGTTTTTTTTCTTTATATATATTTTTTTTTGTAATTCTCTTCTTTTGCAATTGTTGTACTACACTTTATACGAACAGTGGATTATATTCATTTGCTGTTTTTGTGTTCTCCTTAACAGAAAGAAACGAAAAATGTACTAGCAAAGATAGATAAAATGCTACTAATTAAAAAATACTAATCTTTTGATGCATTGAAAGTAAGTTGAAACTATTTTCTTCCTTTTCCCTCAAATCTAACTGTAGTTAAAACAAAAGACAAATACATGCTTAGTATTATGATAGAGATGACGGAAATCTTTAAACAAATATCAAGGACATCATAAGCAAAAATAGAATGTCATTCTATGCAAAGATTATATGCAATTCGGCAGGAATCAAAATAGACTGGCGTATAGAATAGGAGAGAAGAGGAGAAAAATAACCAATTCTATGCGACAGGAAATCAACAACATAATATGTGGGTGCTATTATTCATCATTTCATTCGATTTCTCATACATCAATAAGCAAACGTTTGCAAAACAACGCGAATCATGTGCATTGTACGTAGGTGTAATTGAGCAGATTTTCACTTCATTTTTTTTTCAAGAAGAAAGGGCGTGCAGATTTTTAACGTTTAGAACATGTTAGATAATATATTTGTTGTAATGACCTTACTCGTCTAAACGGATCCGTTTCATGGGAAAAAAGAAAAAAAATTAATAAAGCTTACATTATTAACATTTCTATGAATAGAATAAACTGAAAAGCCCATGACCGAGCCATAGATTATACAATCATGCATAATAAACGAGTTACATTTATTTTCTAGCCAGATATTTGCCCATGTTCTGATACATTAGACATTTGTGTCTGTTGTATTCCACTCAATTTACTTTGCTGCTGTTTACCTTGTTGTCAACCACGGTAAAAAAAATACTATATATTGTTCTGCATCTATAATATTCACTAAATTTTCCTTTTTTTTTTTTCTACTTCAGCGAACGAGTCGTGTATGTGCCGACAACACAGCCTATGTATGGACAACAAGGTTACCCATACATTGTGAGAGAGCCTGTTTCACGTTATTGAAATCTGCAGAAATGAATATTATATACGCCTGAGAAAATCCTTTTATTCTTTTGCATATAAGTCTCTTCATGCATGTTTTTTGATTGTTTTTTTTTGTCATTAAATGCTTTTTTATTTCATTATTTCATATCAAATAAACTTATAAACAGGTTATATTTCTTTCTTTTCTATAACAATTTAATCTTTATTGATAATAAAGTTCAATGTTCATCCCGTCATGAATTTCTAAAATAAAGTAGAATAAAATAAATAGATAAGAATAAAATTTGTTTACATACCGTAGTCAGCTAGAGTGATATTGTCTTTGAATATGTTATCTAAATTGAACGAAAAAAATTTAAATAGATTTTTATTTTCGTTACTTTAATATATTAGAAAAAATGAATTATTTTGTTCTACTTTATCTATCGATCAAATTTGATTTAGATGGATAATTAAATCTTTAGGGTTTGATATTGTAAATTAAAAATATTTCTTTCAAAATACTTACACCACTTTTTTAAAACAATTTTTTCCGCTTTTGTACCCGTTTGAGCAGCAATTAATTTTTTGAGATCACCAATGGTATCATCAGGATTACATTTAACACGTACTTTTTTACCCAAACGATCATTGCAGATAATTTCAATCATATTTACGAACTTTAATAATAAATTGAATCGACAAAAAACACAGATACGCAAGAGACAAGAGTAATTTCAGTCTTTCGAAATTGTTATCGATTGGCTAAATAAAATAAACCAATCATAATCAAGATCCGCTCTTTTTTATTTATATAAGGTATATGCTGATAATATTTTTGTATATTTATAGATAAAAGCAATATTGTTTGGTTGATAATTATTTATAGAAATTATTTTTTCAAATTTCAATTATAATTCTGCATTCGTGTGTTTTATTAGCAGCCATTCCATACTTTCTTTTTCTTCCTGTGTATGAGTGGTTCGGCATCGTCTTGAGTTTACTTGCTCGCTCTTTACAATTGCTGCTGTTACTACAACTGCTGTTTCTTCTTATTCTTATTTGTCTTTTCTCTGCTCGATCTGTCTTTCTCTCTCTCTCTCTCTCTCTTTCTCTTTCTCCCCACCTGAATCGACAACAGAGTCGGTTTCTGTGGGTATGTATGTGTTTGTGTGTCTCGTCGACCAGAAATAACCATCTTTTATAGTCGCTTCTGCTGTTTCTCCTACTGCTACATCACTACTAGATTGTTATTGCGATAAACGACGATAAGAACGATCTCCTTCGTTTTGTTGCTTTTATTACGATGCATGCTTTTAGTATCCATATGTTGAACTGATATATATATTCTTTTAACTAACAATGATGATGACCCAACGTCCAGCTCCTTCTGTTTATTCATTTTCATATAATCGATCCAAGTCAACATTATCGAATTTTCTTGTATTATCTGTATGAAATATAATAGCACGCTATTTAACAAAATTTTCAATACCATTAATAACAATACAAGTAATACTAATAACAGTAACAACAACAACAACAACAACAACAACAATCCTATCAATACTAATATCAACAGCAGCAATAATAATAATACTAAGAACAATATAAAGGTTTCTCCTACATCGGCAACATCTATTACCAATATGGCTGCTGTTTTAAACAGTACACCAGTATCAAATTCAATCGTAATATCCACTCGTTTTACAGATGAATATGATCTTAAAGAAGAACTTGGCAAGTAAGTAATTTTAATATTATTGCTGTTTTTTTTTCTTCGTTGATATATTTGATTGATGACATGAATAAATGTAGAAAATTTTTTACTAGCTCTCTTGAGTTTAGTTTTCATCTATAGAGGCCACCGTATTATAATTCTTGTAATTTTTTCCAATAGTACGAATGCTTTCTTCACTGATTAATCGTGCTTGCATGTTGGGGATATTATTTCTCTCTATTCTGTTCATCGCTGTTGCTGTCACTCTTGTACTCACGTTTTGACCTAGCCATTTTATTCGAAAAAAAAATTGACTACCAGGTCTAGATGGGTAAGTGAATGAAAAAGCCGATCATCATGGATGCCCCTATCGTGTTCTGTCGTTCAAAACGAAGACCAACCGTATATTATCATAATTGAGGCAATGACAAAAACAGGAAGGAGAAAAGAAAACGCCATTATCATCAAGCCAACACTAGTCTTGCTACAACTAGTCTAATTAATTGTGTTGAATACAGAAAAGGCCAAGCGAAAAAGAAAAAGAAACTATCTTCTAAAAATAGATCATCCATATAGAAACGGTAACAAGAGTAAAAGATGTTAGCGTTGATAGTTACTTTTACTCATGGGAAAAGCAAACAAAAGAATATGCGCGCGTGCATAAAACATTCTTTTTTAATAAATAATGAATTACAATCAATTAGATGCACTGCCAATTTATCCAGTAACATTTTTTTTTTGTTTTTACAGAGGTGCATTTTCCATTGTACGTCGTTGTATTCAAAAAAGTTCCGCACAAGAATTTGCTGCAAAAATTATTAATACCAAAAAATTATCCAGTCGAGGTATGAAATAATCAAATATGTCGAATAAAAATTAATATCCATTGATTTAACATTAGATCATCAGAAACTCGATCGAGAAGCTCGTATATGTCGACAATTGAAACATCCAAATATTGGTAAATAATTTTCGTTTTTGTTACTAGGTTAACATTTGAAATTTTTTCATTCGTTTAGTTCGCCTTCATGAAAGTATCTCAGAAGAAGGCTTTCATTATCTTGTATTTGATCTGTAAGTTAATCATGAAGAAGACTTTTGCCTATGTTTGATAATTTTGATTTTTAGAGTTACTGGCGGAGAACTATTTGAAGATATTGTAGCTAGAGAATTTTATAGTGAAGCTGATGCCAGGTAGAGTTTTATTCATATTTTGCTTGTTCGTTTAATTTTCGTTTGCTTCAGTCATTGTATTCAACAAGTTCTTGAAGCTGTACGACATTGTCATGAAAGTAATATTGTACATAGAGATTTAAAAGTAAGAACATATATTTTAGTGTTATGTTTCTATCTTTTTCTTTTCTGTAGCCGGAAAATCTTTTACTTGCAAGTAAAACAAAAGGAGCAGCTGTCAGTAAGTAGAAGAAAAGCTAAAAGTGGAAAAAAAAATTTCTTTCTTTTTTTTCGCAACTAATTTTCTTTTCCTATTAAAATAAGAAGAAACATCTGCTTTAGAACTTGCTGACTTTGGTCTTGCGATTGAAGTAAATGGTGAACAAACACAATGGTATGGTATGTATTAGTGCAGTTTAATTTTAATTGAATAAAAATACGACGCTGCATTTGTATAGGTTTTGCTGGAACTCCTGGTTATCTCAGTCCTGAAGTGCTCAAAAAAGAACCTTATGGTAAACCAGTTGATATCTGGGCGTGTGGTAAGTATCATTTCAATGTTAAAAGAAAACTTTATTTCACAGGGATTTAAGTTGTTTTCTTTTCTTAAAATTTCAGGCGTGATTCTTTACATTCTTCTTGTTGGTTATCCACCGTTTTGGGATGAAGATCAACATCGATTGTATAATCAAATTAAAGCTGGAGCTTATGACGTAGGATTATTTTGAAAGACAAATGAGCTTGTTTTGTGTAAAATATTTTATGGCTATATTTAGTATCCATCACCTGAATGGGATACGGTAACAAGTGAAGCAAAACGCTTAATTGATTCAATGCTTAATATCAATCCGAGCCGGCGTATAAGTGCTACGGATGCATTAAAGCATCCATGGATTTGCGTAAGTAGTTGACCAAAAAATAAAACGGAAAAACATCAAATGTCAACAATGCATGCAATGTTTTCCTTTCAATCGATTGTGTTTGCTCACATATATATTTTTTATGGCCCATTCACCGTTATGTTCGTTCAATGAATGAGAGAAGAGAGAGAGAGAGAGAGAAATGTCGATGTCGCGAGAATGCTAATCAAACTGATTCTATGTGGCAGAATAGAAAATTTTTGTAGTATGTTCTGACAATTCTCTCTCTTGGTTTCATCTGTCTATTTGGGATTGTGAGAAAAGGAAACGGACTAAATCTGAAGTTCAAGCTTTTGATTCAAAGAAATCATTTTCCATTTTTTCTTCTTCTTCTTTATTTAGCAACGAGAACGTGTTGCCGGCACAATCCATCGACAAGAAACTGTAGATTGCTTACGAAAATTCAATGCACGTCGAAAATTAAAGGTAAAGAACCTTGTGATGCGATAGAAACAAGAAAAGAAACAAATAAGCAGTTTGCTTATTTTCTATTCTGTCGATATCATATATTGAATAAGAACGACAGAATAAGTAATACTTGTTTCCTAGTTGGGGGCGCTAACTAAACGATAGGAAAAAAATCATTTATCCAGAATATCGGGCTGAGAATTATAAACAAAGAATATGTTTTTAGTTATATTCTTTTTCATATGTTTCTGTGTAAGTCACTACCTAATTAAATATAAAAGTCATTTATCATTATTATTATTATTATTATTATTATTATTATTATTATTATTCACTTTAGGGAGCGATTCTATCGACGATGTTCGTTAATCGTACATTGATACCCAGTAAGTAAAATAATAGTAAAGAGAAAGAAAATATAGATAAGTACAGATTTCCTGCACGCTATATCCTTTCCTGTACATTATTGCATCTACATTTATATCGGACAATACTTTGCATGTGCGCTTCTAAAAAGAATTTTATTCTTGCCATATATATATTATTATTTAGATATATTTCAGTTCAATTCATAGATGATATTTTTCTTTTTACTTTTAATTATAAAGAATGCATCCAGACATTGATTGCATCTAAATTGAAGATAGACAATTAGTTTCGCTTTTTTTTCTTTTCTTGCCATAAAAATACTACTATTAATATAATGCCAAGCTTCTTCCATCAGTTGTAAAAGAAGCAATCTTTACCGCTATAGATGTGTTTTCTTTGCCTGCATAGCAAACATCTTGTTTGCCATTCTTGGTTCCGTCCTGTATTTGTTGTCATTATTTTTATGCAATGGAGTCCGTTATCCCGTCGTCTTTTCTTGGTATACTAGCCTTGCTTTTCCACCCGATTCTTCCAATAGTATACTATTCCTTTTGATTTGGATATGTGGGTGTATTCTTTGTCGTTCGCTCTCCCTCTCTGTCTATCCATTAAATAAATAGCACATATAATCGTGATGTGTGTGTATCTGCATGCAAGCCATATGGGCAAATAGTTTGACTGGTAAAATCGTCGATGGGTCAATTTTTAGATTCGACTGCATTCGCTAATGCTTCTGCGGGAGTTACTCAAACTCCGACTGATGGAAAGAAAACAACGATGGTTACAACCAGCGGTGCCGCTTCACCGGTTGCCAATATTGCTGTATCGTCTGTGATGTCAGCTTTGTCTAGTGGAGGTACGCGCGGTGATTTTTATGTGAATTTTTTTGACCACGTGTTCATTGCATGTAAATAGTTTTTACCTCTGTATGGTATTTGTCCGATATAATTTTATTTGTGTGTATATATATATATATATATCCCTGTGTTTGCTTTCAAAAAGAAAAACAAAATATCGCAGATAAAAAATCGTTGGTTTATTTTTTTTCTATTTTTAGGTAATCGTTCTCGGCCGGCCACTCAAAGTACGAACAGTGCTATTAAAGAATCTGCCGATAGTAACAGTGCAACCATTGATGATGTAAATGATGCCGAACGAGTCGATCGATTAAGTAAGAAGAATTTATTTTCTATATGATGATTTTTTTTTTCTAATATCGAATAAAACTTTTAAAAGAAGAAAAAGCAAAAACAAGCTCTTCTGAAAATCCTACAGGCGAAGATAATACTTCACCATCAGGATCAGCAGTTTCGCCTATAGCTGTTTCTACACCAATCGATCTAAGTAAGCAAGAAAACAAAAATGGGAGAAAGCAAAAAACTTTTATAATTAACACTTGATTGTACACGCTTGGTTGTTGACTCTAATTGATTTCTAATTCGATATGACGCTTGGAATGCGAGAAAGCAAAACAAACTATTTTTTTTCTAATTTAGATTCAGAAATAACCAAAGTAACTGAACAACTAATACAAGCTATTGCTAATAGCGATTATGACATGTATAAGTATGTAATGAAATAAAAACCAAGCAAAACTTTATTTTTCTCAATGAACTTTAATTATTTATATAGATCATTGTGCGATTCGAAAATTACCTGTTTCGAACCAGAAACAATAGGCAATCTTGTTGAAGGACTCGATTTCCATAAGTTCTATTTTGATACAGGTATGCTTAAATAGAAAACTAATTAAATTTAACTATTAGCAATAAAATTTACAGTCAACTCGATATGGCAGAAAATATTGAGCACGAAACAAAAAGATTAGTAACACGAGATATTCACTGTGAGCATAATTAAATTTATCGAGGTGGTTTCAGTTGAACTTATTGAACAATTTTTGAAAGGAAATTCTCAGTTACACTGAAGACTTTCACACTAAAAAAAAGTCTCATTAGACTATCACTAGAATGAATTATATGAACAATATCCTATCGGAGAAATGACTTATTTTCGGGTAGATCACAATCTGATCGAAGCAGCATTTGAGGGCTATTGGATAGTATGATTGGCAGATTTGGAGAACTTTGCAGTTTGACTTCATATAGAAATGCATCTTCTACAAAATGTATTTATTTATTTATACAGCGCATGGTGATAGAAAGCAGAGCATTGAATTTTAGAATTTCTCGCTCTTCCGGATAGGAAATAATTTCAGCTAATGAAATTATCGATTGTTCCGTTTGCGTCTTATATTGAGCAGAACGAGGTTAAAGATCACCATAGAAATCTCGAACAAATCATATGTGAATCTTGTTATTTTAAATAACTTCATAGACAAAGCTGTTGTGTTCGTCTAGCATTTCTTTTTTTCTTCTTCTTAAATACCCGAATATTTTTTCAGGGCGATTTGCTCGCTCCGATACAGGTAAAGAATTTATTATGGCTATGTTTTGTGTGGTGTATATATATTTAGTCTGTTTGTTGTGCTCTGTATTCTATTTCTTTTGTTCACATTATTTTGATTTTATTCTATTTATAGTTTTGTCAGCGAAAGCAAGTAAACCAACAATCAACTGTACGATGTTAACACCAGTCGTACATATATTAGGAGATGAAGCAGCTTGCATAGCCTATGTTCTTCTCCTACAATTTCTTGATCGGTATGAACAAATCTATTTTGAAAACTTTTCACGATGGAAATATCGGTACGTTTAGAAATGGTCAACCACAAAGTGTACGAACCGAGGAAACTCGTATATGGCATAAAAAAGATTCACGTTGGCAATGTGTTCATTTCCATCGTTCGGGTATGCCTGTTGCTGCAGCTATAAAATCTTCTTTTGCTACTACAACAATGTAATTCTGTTGATTATCAAAATTTTTCTTATGCATGTGATCATTTGTTCACGGGCTGTCACATTCATATTTTCTTTTTTGTGTACCCTTTCTCTTTCGATTATTCATTCCTCTTTTTTCTTAATGTTGTGTTAATTGTCTCGGTTTTTTTTGTTTTATTTACTATGACCACAATAAATCATCAGCTTTGACTATCGCTATACCTCATATTCTTTTTGTGCCAATATGACACCATGAATTTATCTTTTGTGAAAAAAAGTATTTATTCTATTTATTTTGTCTTTTGCGTTTTCTTTTCTTTTTGAACAAAGAAGAAAACACGACGTTTATTAGGCCTCTTCTGACATGACAAATTTATCTTTCTTCTTTTTTTCTTTCTTTCTCTTTTGTTGTTTGATGTTGTTGTTGTTGCTGCTGCTCATACCTTCCTCTCTTTCTTTTTTTTCTTTGTTGCGTTGTGTGAAAAAGAGTTAATTACCAAAACGTATTTTTTTTTGGCTTACTTGTCATTTTCCTTTTTGTCTTCATTCTTTTGATCAGTGATGATAATCAGAAGATTCAGTTCTATTGCAAACGACAACAAATAAATAATTAAGAATAATTTTTCATGTCATGAAATAATTGATCGGATAAAGATCGATGTTAGAAGGATTACTTCTATATATATATACTGCACTACAGAGGATTCCATGCGCATGCCATAGCAAAGAAAGGCTAGAAAAGCACAGCCTCGAGTGTTTTATTTTTTTGAATAAGCAGTTTTGATAAACGAGAAACCTGACATTTTTAAGTGAAACTGATATACGAGAGGAAATGTTTAGTTCTCTAACAAAGTCAATTATTTTTATTATACTAAAGGGAATTCTGAATTCATATGCGAGTTGATTAATATGAACGGTATTCAAAAAAACGTGTCTTGCCGGATACTTTTCTGATTATATTCTAGATCCCGAAAGATGACTGCAAATTCTCAAGAGTTCAATGCATTCTGATCTCTGATTACTGCATTCAGAATTACTATTTCCAGGAATTTAAAATTCAGAAGTAATAAAGTTTTGTACACCTCAAAATAAATTGGGAAAAAAATATTAGAAAGCTTAATTGATGTGTGTGTATTTTTGTATACTCAAAAAACAAAAGTGAGTACGCTATAAAATCGGTCAGCGTGTCCGGCCGGCCGTTTACACGATAGCTCCTGAAAGGCTGATCCGATCGTCATGAAATTTTGTACACAGAATGATCTCATCAATATCTCAGTCGAGTTCGAAGATGAGAAGGATCCGTCAAGAAACGGCTGAGCTATCGAAAAAATTGTCATTATTGACCCCCCCCCCCCCCCCCCCCCCCCCCCCCCCCCCCCCCCCCCCCCCCCCCCCCCCCCCCCCCCCCCCCCCCACAGGGATTTTTTTCTCAGTATTATTCACAACATATATAAATCTACTCAGTTTTTGCAGTACACATAACAATCGGATGCAAATCCGATGTTTCCGCATTTATTGTAGTTTGAGAACGGAATATTGATAGACGAGAAGTTTGAGAAGACTAGTAAACATGTTTTATTAGTTATATTTCTAGCAGAGGAAATTGATTTTTAGATAAACGAAAGAACGATTAATCAATTGATATGTGAATAGTAATGTTTGTGAGAGGTTCCATTCGAATTTGTTCTTGTTAAGAACGTTTGTTGTTGGACATGACTTATACGTAATCGGAAGATTTATCATAAAGTTAATTGAATCGATGTTGATGAATTTCGAACCAAAATAACGACAGATTGAAATCAATTTATTCTTCGATAAAATTTACGAGCTAATTTATTCTATTGATTAATGATATGTAGTATTACAGAGGTTCATTGAATCGTGCAGAAAAAACATATCAGAGAAGAAAAAAATTGTTTACGTCACATTTCTATTTGATGAATAAAGATCTTAAGTATTGATTTAGATACTAGAATACTTGATTTCTTATGAAACTATCTGTAGCAACGTCAGATATCTTTGAGTATCATAGAGTTAAAATATATTTGCGAGTTTCAATAGAACAATTTGCTATGTAAACTATGCAATACAAAATCATACATAAATAGAAGAATGTAATTTGATTCTTGATCTAACGAATTCAACATTCTAGGAGATGAAATTAGTGACTGAATGATGAGAAGAAAATATATAATTAACCTATCGACTGTTTAGTAAACTTACATTTTCTACCTTGACTTTCGTTTCGTCTATCAATTTTCTAATGACTTTCTGTCTTTCGTTGATTTTTTAAATTATCAATGTACTCAGAGATCATTTATTTATTGAAAATGTAATCTAGATCAAATAATAGCCCTTAAAAACATTGTGTAACTACTAAAATGAATCTCAAACACCTTCTATTAAAATAAGATGAACGACAGTCGTATATGTGCGCCCTCTATCATTTGAAATAGACAACTTTGACAGGCATAAATTGATGATTAGCATAACTAGAATTTATTCTCGTTTAGAAAATTTGATTTAATTCGATTTCCGTATCGACGCTGGTTGCTAAGCAATCAATCGACCATATTAATATATGAGTTGATTATCAACAAGAGGAAAAAGAAAAGTTGTCGTCGCCGTCGATCGACACTGTGTTTCCAAGTGACTGACGTACCTATGGCGACTTTGCTTGCCACAAACTCGCCTTTTTTACCATCATTCATTTACTCTCTCATCTTGTCTTTTGAGATATGTTCAAAAATACGTTTCAGAGTGGCTTTCTCTCAATACTCTATAGTATTGGCAGTAAACCATTACAAATCTGGGATAAGAAAGTTAGTTGGAGATTTCTATGAAAATTTCAAATTCAATCTTTTCTGTTTCTCTTCTTTTATTTAAGGTACGTAATGGGCACATCAAACGTATAACAGATAATGAAATTCAATCCCTTGTGTTGGAAATCGTTGGTACGAATGTTAGCACAACATATGTAACATGTCCAGCTGATCCAAAGAAAACACTCGGAATTAAACTACCATTTCTTGTTATGATTATTAAAAATTTAAAGAAATATTTTACATTCGAAGTACAAGTAAGAAGATAATTTCTCGTTGTTTTCCGCTAGAAAAAAAAAGAAACTCATCTCTTTCTAACCATAAGGTACTCGATGACCGAAATGTTCGTCGTCGTTTTCGTGCTAGTAATTATCAATCAACAACACGAGTAAAACCATTTATTTGTACAATGCCTATGCGATTGGATGATGGATGGAATCAGATTCAATTTAATTTATCTGATTTTACACGACGTGCTTATGGTACCAATTATATTGAAACACTCAGAGTTCAAGTATGCTAAATTCTTTTGAAAAACAAAAGAACAAAGTAACCCTTTTTTCTTTCTAACAACAACAACAATTTATAGATTCATGCTAATTGTCGAATTCGACGGGTCTACTTTTCTGATCGACTTTATTCGGAAGATGAATTGCCACCGGAATTCAAATTATATTTACCGGTAAAAACATAATTCAACTTTGTTTTTTTGCTAATTTTATTTATTCTTTAGGTTCAAAAGAAATAATTGAATTCATCATTTACGTTTCTTTTTCGTTCTATTTTCTACTTCTTTTTTTGCCAAAAAACAATAACAATAAATAAGCAGCATAACTATATACCATCAATAGCTGTGTATATTTGTGACTCTTTTTTTTTAAACGTGAACCTGTCAATTTGTTTTTGTTTTCTTATGCGTTTATTACATATACATCATCCTTCAAGTACGAATGAAAATATATATGGTATGTGTTTTATTGATAACAGTGCTTTGAATGGTATAAAGTCGAAATGAAAAAGTTAGATAACAGCAATTGTGAGTACTTTTCAAGCACCGATATACGTTATCGCTAATTTGAATGCTGAATTTCGATCGATAGAAACGATTAATTTTCGTAAAGTTCTTTAAATGATTTTTTGCTGAAGAATTATTCAGTAACGACGAGGGAAGGCATGTTTGCACAACTATCAAAATCATACTAACGTATTATTGAAAATCTCTTTCGCCTGTTTACAGTTCGTGACATTCTTTATTCTGTGAGAGAAAATAACACTACGCTCATGATTAGAAAGTCTGTAGGAGTGAGAGAATATCTATGGTTTCGATTGTTTACTGTTGTTTGAATTAGTTCATTGTGTAGCTGCGGGAAGGGAAGACGCAAAAGTTAATAACAATTATTATTTGATTGAAAATAATACACATTGCCTTGTGTTTATAGGCTATTTGTGTCGAAGCATATTTAAAAAAGGTGAGGTTAAATGTCTAGTCTTACTAATAATTATCGGGTTTCGATCTACACAAGGAGCTTTTATCATTTGGTTTTATTATTGGCTAAGTCTGTTTTTGTGATGAAATTTTTTCTTTATGTTTGGCATCAATTTAATTATCATGTAGAACTCAAAATCAACATTAACCCGTTCCTAAGGAAACTGAGAAAAAATTCAACTGTCTCAACGAAACAAAAAAATTCATTAATTCCATTTCTTCCCTCGTCAGAAATCGGATCGGTTGTTGGTATTAGTTTGAATTTAAGCACAACATACTCCTGTCTATTCTGTCTTTTGTGTACTCAAAAAACAAAAGTGAATACGCTATAAAATCGGTCAGCGTGTCCGGCCGGCCGTTTACACGATAGCTCCTGAAAGGCTGATCCGATTGTCATGAAATTTTGTACACAGAATGATCTCATCAATATCTCAGTTGAGTTCGAAGATGAGAGGGATCCGTCAAGAAACGGCTGAGTTATCGAAAAAATTGTCACTATTGACCNCCCCCCCCCCCCCCCCCCCCCCCCCCCCCCAGGGATTTTTTTCTCAGTATTATTCACAACATATATAAATCGACTCAGTTTTTACAGTACACATAACAATCGGATGCAAATCCGATGTTTCCGCATTTATTTCATGTTGAAAAATAAATAAGAATTGCAGCTTGAAAAATGATCATACTTTGGCTGTACTCAAATCAAAAACGGAAATAGAGTACCCATGTCTGTAGGTTAGATTTGTACACTGTCAAAATAAAATAACGATGCAGTCGACGAGTAGAACGCGAATCGAAGTGCATTGTTTGCACATTTGTAGAGTCAAATTCTGCTCGTGTATAAGCAAAAAACAAACTCTCGTTTTAGAAATCTGAATTTGACAAATATTCTTTTCTTATTCAATTCTACAACTGAAACTACTGCTAAAATTGTCGTATCTAAATTTATCTTTTAAATCGAATTGCTTTAATTATCATTCATGAATAATAATCGAATTTCGCATATTCACAATAGAAACTTTCTTTCAAATATTGAACAATAAACATATTTATTCTTTGTATTTTAAAATGTGTTGTTTAATATATCTCCAAAAAAAAAGACACACATGTATTACAATAGCTAAACAACAATTAACGAAGGTGGGAGTTCTATCCGTGAAGAAAAAATTTTGCCTATTCATTTTGATCAAAATATAACGTTTCAAGAAGAAAAGAAAAGGCATTGAAAGAGAGAAAAATTCACGATCTCAATACGATATTTAACGACAACTGCAGAAAAAGAATTTCGCTGGTTTTATTTTTGATTTAATGGCAATGATCATTATAATCAATAACAGATGAACGACGCCAACCGAATAGAAAATGACCTACACCAGCGCCGAGTATAACAGCAAGGAATAGATAAATATTAAATGTCATGGCAACTAACATCAATAAATAACTAATGCCCATCTGTAGAATGTGTAAAAGTGTTTGAATTATATGATGAAGACTTAATAAACGAGCTCTAAAAATAGAACAAAAAATTCATTAATATAATGCATAACGCTGCATGATTCTATTTCTAGAAAGCCGCCCAAGGCTCACCGTTTAGTCGTGCGAGCATTGCCCGTTATAACTCCTGGTATTAAATCATTATTGTTAGGATTTTCATCCTGTTGGCCATGGCGCAAACTAGAGTAGCAATTATAACAATCACCAAATATTAATTTATTGTAAAAACAAGCGATACTTTATGTTAGTGATTATTTAAATTAAGCACATGCATGTTTTCCTTTTGTCAATAAACTTACAGTGATGATGGACGTTCACCTTGCTCCTCACATTTACAACGCGCTTCACGTTTGGCTAATTGATCTCGAATAGTTTTCAATCCTTCGTAGAGTACAGCCACCAAGAAGATGATAATCCAAGATCCAATAAATGCTAAAACGAATCTGTTTTGTTGCAATCAATAAATAGACATTAGTTGTTTACCACTTGCTGTTTTCGTATTCCATTGTGAAAATAAAATTTGTTCAGTGAAACCACCGTGAAAAGTCATCTATGAAAAAAGAGAAATAAAATCTAAGATCTGTGTTTTGGCTATAGATCACAAATCTGAGGTTTATTGTCGTTTGAGAAAACAAAAGTTGAATTTCAAAAAAATTGATTGGTTAAAAAATGAGTGCCTGAAAAAACTTTACTTCTTAGAGAAATATTAGAAGTTACATTGCATCGGTTATTCAGTAATTGAGCTGGCTGTAATAGAATTGGCCGAAAGAAAAAAATGTCGAAAGTGCCATAAATTGAGTTTGAGCATACGCTGTCCATTAAAAAGTGCGATGATGAATACTTCTACAGAGTGTCCATATAGGATCGTTGAAAAACTGGTTTTATACTATCTATAGCATTTTCGACATTTTTTTCTTTCGGCCAATTTTATTACATTCATTGAGCTTCACCTCTCCTGTAACACTTTTACTGGGAATATTTTATTTTCACTGGGATTTGTATCAGAGCTCCGCGTGGGATGGGATGAAACATTTTTCGTCCCATCCCATGGGACGTCTGAAATGTCAAATGTTTTTTAAGGTGTCAAATTTTTTTGATTATCATCGATCGAGTGAGACTACGAATTATAGTATAATTCGAATTTCTGTTCTTTTTGCATATTATAATAATGAATGACATCATCCTAGTTATAAATACAGCATTTTAAAAAATAGAGAAAAGAACTAGTAAATGAGAAAGGGAAATATTTCATTAAATACAAAAGCAACTGGAAAAAATAAATAAAAGTATAAAGTTTCAGTGTTACATCATTGTACAACTTTCATATTTTCCATGGAACGAATTATTCAAAGACATTTCACCAGTTATAAGCCACAATAACTAAATCAATTGTTACTGTTTCAATAGATCAAATCGCATTTTTTCCTCTATGCGTAAGTTCATTATTATATTTTGTTTTACATTGAATCGAAATAGCTGCACTAGTTGACCACGTATAGTTTACATTTTTAACTATTTTTCTCACACAGTTGGGTACGACATCTATATTGAAACGACTATACTATTTTTAGTAAAAATGAATAGATTCATATAATATTTCTTCGTCCCATGGGACGATGGGTGGGACGAAGAAATTTTTGTCCCATGGGATGGGACGACTCTCAAAAAATTTCCGTCCCATCCCACCCCATGAGCTTTTATTTAAAAAGTTGCATCCCATGGGACGTATGGGATGGGGTTGTCCCATCCCACGCGGAGCTCTGATTTGTATGCTGAAAAAAATCTTGATTCATTCGATTTTTCTCAATTCAGACTATGCTGTTTCAAAGAAAAAGGAAAGAATTTAAGTCTTTTAAATAAAGCTGTGCGAATTCGCATACAACCAAAGCAGTAACAACAACGTAACTATACAATTATATGCTAAAGTCAACATACGGCTTCGTGATATAAAAGAAAGTAAATAAATGTCTGCTATTCTTACACGATCGTACCTGGTTGATATGGCATTATCGATCTAGTGCTTCTTTCAAAAAATGACGCATTACTGCTAGTAGCAGAAATGAAATATCATAGCCTTAAATTTTGAGTCGATGAAGACGAATAAGATTCTGGAGAGTTAATTGAAAGGAAATTTATTTTGATGTTTTTCTTCATATTCAAATAATTCGCGATATTGACAATGTAGTGACTTCCGTCCGGAATGTAAAGTCTACTTGTATTGCAACAGTTAAGAAATTTGCATAGTCTTTCTATTTAATTTTTATTTGAATAATGTAAACAATCAAAACAAAGAAATGAATTTCGGCTTTTATTCTCATTGATGAATTGTGATTTATACTCTGCATGACATTAGAAATTCTGCTGTTTTTCTATCACAAAAGAAACGATTAAACATTCTATGATTATCTTATTAATTCGATATCTTTTCTGTTTCGATGACTAAAGAATAATTTATTCAATCAGCACAACTAATCTTCTCTATAAAAAATAGGGTCCTCACAGGAATTTGCTTTTCTTTAAACGTATCATTACAATCGATGTAAATGTTTGAATATTAAGTACTTACAGCCATTGACATCATATGATCAGCATGCGAACCATGTCCACTAGGAACTGATGTTGTATTTGATTTATGTTCCATCATATGATGAGCATGATTCATAAGTGTTGTTGCCACTGTACTAGAAACCATGTCTGCTGCGTGATGGTGATGAACATGGTCGTGATCGTGATCCATGCTAACCTCTGAAATTGTAATTATAGTTCTTTGTCTTCGTTTAATATAAATAATAAAGTTGAAGAAAAAAAAAACAGCAAACGAAGTAGTCCTAAGACGACTGTATTCGATATGCAGGTGGTAAGGAAAGAAAAGAAAATGCATGCTATCCTATACCAAGAATAATAAAAGTAACAAAATACTCAGGTTTGTATAACCGCTGCATCTATATATGCCGCACTAGATTCGTCGAATATCTCAATGCACAAACCTATGCACATACCGTCAAGAAGCGAACGGATTAGAATGTTGGGGGAGTGACTGGCACGGGTAGAATCAGGATGCCATAAGAATGAACCAATAATGTGTACATGTCGCTCGATAGCGAATGGTGGCGCTCTGGTGAATTAGAACAAATGCGCAGAAAGAAAGAAATTCGCTATGAACATTAAGAAAAATTTCCTTCGTTTAATGTTCGATTGATAAGTGTCAGAGAGAAGAAAACGATTTGAGAAATTGTTTTATGATTAGATTTTTGTGCGACGAAACGAATGAAAGACAAATTATTTAAATAAACCGATATGTACTTATATTCTTATTGTCTTCACTTATTTTTTTCATATGATGTAATTTCAACAAGCTTTCATTGTCACGCTCGTTTAACTCGGATTGTCATATTATACTTTTACTATCTATAGGTGGATGATTTTTACGCAATAGGTTTGTTAAAAAATGTAAAGAATCGATTATCCGTACGCAGACGATAAGGGAAACCATCGAAGCGATTAGTAAAGAGAATCACAATAGGTATTGTTTTTAGGAGGGGTTTCTTTTTCTACTTATGACAAGAAATATTTCAATAATGTGATCGAAATTCGATTTCTAATCATATAAAAAATAATCAGAACCAATGTTCGCTACAATTGTATATTGTTGACATGGAGAATTTTATCTATATTCTCATCCGTCAAAAATTCATTTCACTCTCTTTGTACCAATAATAATGCATACTCATCGCCAATATACATCTATATTGTGTTCTCTGTTCTTCATCATGTATACGTATCACTAAACAAACATATTATGTGTACTTTAGATTGTTATCTTCTGTTTTACGTTTAAACTCATCTTTCCTCTCAATATATACTTTTACCTCGTGACACAAATGCATATGGACATGTGATTCTCTCTCTTGTTCACTTTCGAAGTGATTGAATTGTCCTATCCAAGGTAGACTTACACATCTGTATAAAAGGAAATGCGTTCAATTCAAATAAAGACAGCGATGGCACCTTCTGTTACCACACACTTCTTACCGAAGAATCGATGTAAGAATTTTAATGGGTATAATTTTAGGGTGATATTAAGGAGACTCGTTTGTACTTAACTATTTTATTTTCGTTGCAAATCTGCGGTGTTACAATCACTAGCGATTGAAATATACGCACTATAGAGAAAATGAAACGTTGAGTGTTAAATTTTCCGAGATATACGATGCGTCTGATACTGATATCATCGACGAAAGAGAACCTTCAAAAGGGCTTACTAGATCAAGACTCTCTCAGTATCATCTTAGTTAAAACAATGATTTCTTTTAAATAGTGAATATAGCGTTCGAGTTGTAAATGAATCACAATTTTTTTCGTAATCCTTGAGTCAGTATCACTTTTTTTCTCTCTATAACTTTAGATTGCGATGGTATTAGTCGAGGGATTATATTGAATCAGACGAGGTTTTGGAAGCGTTATTCATCAACAAATCAAGGCGAATGTATAACTAGATAATAAAAACGATACAATTTTACTGCGCTACGGCCCGACGAGTGCAAGTAAATATGTATGAAAGCTGGTGAACGCATGCATTTTGTAATATCACACGAACAAAAGAAAAAAAAACAGATCTGATCATAACAAAAAAAAAAGAATGCAATCAATGATATCAACTACAGAAGAGAACACAAGAAAGAAATAATATGTGAAAAAACAAAGCGTCTGTAAGCCCTCTCTCTTCCTTTGAAAGAAGCTGTACGTCCGCAAATATTATTCGTTGAGGTTGTCGTCTCATAGCTAACAAATATACATTTGTATATTGAAAAGAACAATGAATACTCGCAGGTATACTTCATACATAAAACTTAAGTGTTCATCATCGACAAAGATGAAAGAATATGTATGTATATAAGAAGAAAAATATTGATTTCGTGAACGATCAAGTGCTCTCATGTGAATTCTCTAGCAACGTTGTTTCTTGTTAAAACTGTGATTGTGTCATTTTTTAAACAGATTATGATCAAAATCTTTGTAAATTTCCCTATGAAAATTTTTCCTCTGATTCGAAAATAAGAATTTTGTGTTTGATGATGATGATGATATTCGCTGTTCAGTGTCATCAGGGACCATTTTAATTTGGTGTGCCGTAGAAAGACCGAAAGGAAAAATATCGAAAATTTGCACTAAGATGTTTTTATTCTTGAAATCATAATAGCATTATAGCATAAATCATAGATAAATAAGAGTTATAAAGAAAAATACAGATATCCAATATTTTACTACTTGTTGTTGTTGTTTTATTCAGTTTGACAATATACTTATCTGATACAAGGAAAGGTTTTCCTTTTTGCGACTGAATAAATGAAATAACTGGAGTTGGCGGATGACTGTCACCAGATAAAAATGAACAAACTGTAGTCATCATGATAGAAGTTTAATCGTTGTATACTATTTTACGCCTATTTTAGGTAGTTTTCATAAGATATTACTTATCAACAGTATCAATGGTTAACAGTGTCAAACCAATGGAATAATCAGATTAACAACAATGAACAGTAAACTATTAGAACCTTCATTTAGTAGAAACGTCGCTTTTTTCTATCTTTTCTGTTTTCGACATTTTTCCTTTTCGATATTTTTCTCTTCGACATTTATCCATTCGACATTTTTCTCTTTCGGTATTTTTCCCTTTCGACCTTTCTACGGCCAACCTTTAATTTCATTTGAAAGTGCACTTCATACTGTTGTGTGTTATATCAGCCATATAAACTGGTAGGCGGTAGTGTTAATTTAGTCAATAGTTTTCTCTGCTGAGCAAGCTTCGTAATAGGAACGCAATGGTTCCTGGAGTTAAACATCCATTGATACTTCTTTTCATCTCGCATCCGCTGATGATGTTTATTTCCGAATAATTTTTTTTCGTTCTATGCCGAAATTTACTCAATGCGAATTTCGTTGATCTGATAGGATTTTCATTATTAATCAATAATCATTGGCTGTAGTTCTACTAAGACAGAAAATAGGTATATATGTATGAATACCAGGGCAAGATTAAAGCATAGGATACTACGCAAACTATAGAAGATGACGTCGTTCGTGGTACAACACAATCAGAGATAGTAAACATTTTAATAGAATGGAGAAAAAAAACGATACTTAAATGGTGGTATCTGTAACAGATACAGGACCTCATCCAGTAAAGAAAATAATTAAAATCGCACTCAATAATTTAAAACTAACGAATAAAAAAATAAAATCCTTTGGTTTGATGAACTTAAAAAATGCTCCTTTCTACTCTTGTCCCAATTGATTAGTATACCTTGTTTAATTATCGCTGACGAGAGCAATGTAATATCTGTATGCAATAACACTTTTCTTTTCATTATTTTCTTCATAAATTGAATAAAACAACTGAAAATATATACTTACACGTCGTATCATTTAAATTATGTGAAGTGTCGCTATCAACGTGAGTGCTAAACATCTAACATAAAAAGAAAAGAAAATGAGACAAATGTTTGGTCTCTAGTGAAACGAACTATTTTTCTAGCCAAATCAAATTTTTTTCTGATACAAGAAAATTATTAATGTAGTCGAACGAGAGAAAAAGAAAATATAGACCTCAGAAATCATTTGTAAAAAAAGTGAGGAAAAAATAGCTCGTTTTCCTTCGGCGTATATTTAAAAATCAAGAAAACTATGGTAACGTATGATGCACCGATGGAATTCGGTGCTATTCATCATAATAATACATCACCCTATCATGATAATAGTCAACGTTATTTAAAACATCGACATCAAGGTAGAGAACTTCATTCGGTCGAAACAACAAAAGCGCAACGATGTTTAAGAAAAACAACAAAATTTTTATTTTCACATATTGCTTTAGTTGGTCTTGTTGTTGTTTGTGCTGTAGTAGGTGGATTTCTATTTCAATTACTCGAAGAACGCGAAGAAAAAGTTATGTGTCAAGAAGCACAAGGAAAACAAATTGCCGAAATAAATAAACTTAAACAGCAATTTGTCAATTATATACAACAAAATACAACATTATCAATAGATTCGCTTGCGAATGGAAAAGATAACACAACCATAGCTATCGGAAAAATCGGTTCTATGCTATATGGATATCGAGATTTCGTTATTCAGACAGCTTCACAACGTCTCTATTTTCGTAATAATTGCCTCGTTTCTATTAAATGGACTTATCCGAATGCATTACTTTTTGCCATTACAATTATAACAACTATTGGCTATGGAAACATAACGTAAGTTAAACATATTCTGATCATATATTTAAAAAAAATCTCTCTTCTAGACCGGTAACATGTAAGTCTAAAAAAACAAAACTTTTAAATTTTACAGAATATTCTCCCTGAATATCATAGGGGAAGGTCAATTGTGTTGTATAAGCTTTGGGACCATCGGCATACCAATATTTCTTCTATGTCTAGCCAATATAAGTGGTGTACTTGGCGAAATGTTTCGTTTTCTTTATGATAAAGTGCTATGCGCACCGTACGCTATGTTCAAAAAACGCCGTTTATTAGCGAATAAAGCTAAGTATCAAGAAGAAAATGAAATAGGTACCGGTCGTGTTGGCTCTAATGAATATGTATTAGATGATAAAAATAAGAAAAGTTCACTAGAAAAACCTTCGAATACATCGGCGGATCATGATGGATTAAATAAATATCACAAAGGAGGAAAGAAACGTGTTACTGTACCATTAACAATTACAATGATTATTATAGCAGCATACATATATATTGGTTCTGCTTTATTTCATGCATCTGAAGGTTGGACCAGGATGCAGTCGGGTTATTTTTGTTTTATTACATTGGGTAAGAAAATTTTTATCTAAGAAAAAGAAAATATAATTGCCTGCTTTTATTTTCTAGCGACTGTTGGCTTTGGTGATTTCGTGAGTAGAGAAGAAAAATTTTACCTGAAGTTTTATTTTTAAAATGTAAAATGCCACTCATTTAGGTCCCCGGTCAAGCCACTGGCGAGACCAATGTCGGTGAAAAACTTGTTGTCGGAGCTATATATGCTCTCGTTGGAATGGCTATTTTAGCAATGAGTTTCGATTTAATACAAGAAGAAATAATCGCAAAAGTTCGTTGGATTGGCAAAAAAGTTGGAATTATCGAACCAGAAGATGAAAGTAAAAATTCCATTGAGAAACCAGTTATTTCTAAAAGTAAAAGTTTTTCTTCCGGAAAATTATCGATCAGTGATACTAACATAGTGGTGAATACAGCTCGTACAATTGTTGAGAATGAAAATGAATATGGCATGCCCAAACAACAGAGTCCAATTGCAACACGTAAAAGTAGCTCGAGAAATAATTCAGCTCGTGTTCACCCAATGGCGCCAAGCGCTGCGAATGAAGCTACTCTTCATCAACGAGTAGCTAGTGGAAAGTTAAACTGACTTTCGTTTCCTTAATATGTACATGCATATACTAAAAAATTCATTATATTTATTGTATCTACACAATTATTTGAGCTTATTCTATGCGTAATAAAATTTGAAGTATCGACTGCTTTCAACATTATGATAACGTTGATTCTCAGATGGGAAATTTCAATATTTTCCATTGTTTTTGATCAATCTTTGAATTAAATAATTATTTTACGTTGTATTAAATTATCTGCGCTGTTTGAGTATAGAACTGATGAATAGTCTGGCCACAAGTGTTCGATTAGCCATATCCGACGTGATTTTCTATCAAAATTGTCACGCGAAGTTATAGCATGCAGAATATTACAGCATCAAGAACTCAGACAGCATACTTTTTTTTTAGTCTCATGTTGATTTTAGAAGCTGTGCAACTATTTCGAATTTGATTCTTACGCAAGTCGATTAGACACAAAGATTCTAAAACGATATTTGAATCGAATTCATTGTATAGTGGGATTGTGTGCATGAAAGTTCTAAACAGAATTTTTCGTATGATGAAGCTTTTTTTGGTACACGGTGCACAGAATTTTTCAAGTCAAGCAATTTCACTCTGGTACTAAACACATTGTTAAATTAATCAAAAATTCAGTCTCAATCTTGTACTATCATGGAAAGTGAAAACAAGATTTATCTATCTGACAGTCTATAACTTCATTCGATTGTTACAATCATAAAACTACGGTAACCTGGATTCATCTATTTGTTATAGAAACAGAAATATTCATGCTTCCTCTCAAACTATTTCGAAACAAACACGTTGATAGGATCTATGAAAAATTCGAATACTATCTCTTTTGCACTTTTGTTTTTAAGGCTTTGTCTGTAATAAAAATAAACAAATTCAGTTCGACCAATAGCATACCACATACCTTTATTTTGCATTGCTTTTTATTAACTGGCTAGTGAGCTTATTAAAACTTTGAAAACAAAATCAACTAAATAATCCTAAACTTATACAACAACAAGAAACACATATCTAAACAGTTTTAATTTCAGTTTCGTATCATTTATCAACATGTTGATCATCTGAATTTGTTTGTGATATAGAATCAATTGTATTGTTTCGAAGTTGATCAATGAGTTGATAAAATGAATTTACAAACCACGGTGCATTATCACGTACTTTCTCTCGAACGACATTTCCTCCAAAACCAATGAAACCATCAGCATTTGCTTCCATGTCAGTTGCACCATCGCCGATCATGATTATTCGTTGATAATTGTATTTAGTTTTGAGATATTCAATAACACGTCCTTTACCGCCTGAATCTGATGTCATTTCATTTTCATCAAAACCAGCGTATGAACCATCGGTATGAAATAGCAAGCGATTCGCAAATACGTTCTTTAGTGGAATATTCAATTGTTTAGCAACAGGATCGACAATCGAATGAAAACCACCGGTGATTAAATGCACAGGTATTTGACGTTCGTGTAATAAATTAATAAGTTCACTAATACCGTCTGTTAATTGTGATGGATAATTTTCAAGAAATTGTTCTAATCGTTCACTTGTCGGTTGAATAAGATTGAGACGTGTTTGTAATGCTTGCCGAAAACTCATATTACCACCCATTGCATTTCGTGTTATAGCTTCAACTAGTGCGCCAACCTGTTGAAATTTAGCTAATTCATCAATAGCTTCTTCAACACACACTGTTGAGTCGACATCAAAACAAACACAATCAGCATTTAACCATAATTGACGAGTTGATTCTTCTTGTTTTGATCGTTGTGTCGATGAAGCAGTATCTTTTAAATCTTTCGTCATATTGTAATATTCAAGTTATAGAATACAAGTCAATAAATGCAAAAACACTGGTATGAATAATGTTGTACTTTCTCCTATTGCGTGATACGCATCTGCGTCGATGTTGACTTGGTGAATGGTGAACAAGACGAGAAGAGAATCGTTGTGTAGATTGCTAGAATACAAACACGCATTGAAGTTATGGTTGTCAAAGTACAGATTGGACGAGAAGGAAAAAACAGATGGTGCGGTTACTTGTGCGCACGAATCATGTCTATGACATTGTACATTAGAAAAATGGTTTATATTGAAGAAAGAAAAAAAACAATTTTCGACCTTGATTCGATTGTCGTGGTATTCAGGATGATCCAATGCTTGAATATTTCATCAGACTATCGGAAAAATAAATTCTACTTGCTTTGATCTACATCTATATGAGCCTTATCGAATCGGAAAACACATTAATAGAGATGTCAGTCTAATAGTGCCTACTATATATTGCCGTTTACTACGAATTCATTGATATTTTTAACAGGTTTTGAATTCCTTTGTGACTCTCAACGTTTAACATGGGAAATGGCAGAGATTTTTCAAGAAAATCGAATATGTTTCAATCGCTTATCCCGAAAATGCAAAAAGTACGATGATTAATACAATAATATTTTTAAAAAAACACATCATCATTTTGTTTACTTGATTTTTATGTAATTACTTATCGGTAGAAGTCAAAAAAAAGCGTAGCTGTATCATGCGTGTACCATTCAAGTTAATCGAAGTGCGTCAGAATTTATGTACAATCATTTTTTGGCGAGGGACTCTTCATCATGAGTTATCAATTTTATATCAAATGTCAACTGATGAATAATTTGTACGACGTTAAATAATGTATAAAATGGCATCAATCATTGGTACGTTCAGAAGATAAACTCCAGAAAAACTAAAGACTAATGTTCCGCTCTATCTAATCGAATTATACAAGTTTCATTACACAGAGAAACTCGTTGTCTCACTCACTTCCTTCGGAAAAACAAACTTTTAGGTTTTTCCCAAAATCTAACACAGTGGAAATATCTCATCTTCACTTTCAAGATTTTGAGCATAAGAGATAAATCAAAAAGAAAAAATTTTGTTTGCAAGCATTTTTCCTTTATTGATTTTCCTTGATAAAATCATCAAAAGAAAAAAAAGTTTCTTGAAAAAAAAATTCAATCTGTTTGCTGATAAGGCATAAAACCCGTACATGATGAACTTGAGCAATGGCACGGTTTAGAATGTTTCTCATCAATCATTGTTCCATAAGTATATGATAATTCTTCATTGTCTTGAACTTCTCGTAAAGTAAAAAATGCTAAACGAGGCGGTGTTGGTTGATCAATTCGAATAGGTACGATATGAAGATTTGGGTTACAACTATGATTAATAAATCTAGTCCAATTTCCATAATAACGAGCGTCAATAAACGTTTTAATGATTTTTCCGGATTGGTGTTCATTATAGAGTAATAGATAGTTATGTTCATAATTTTCAGTTGCTAATATTCGTCGATGAGCTTCGTTTTCTGACAAAACTTCACCAACATATTCGCCAATATACGTTCCGGGATGAAGAATAGATTTTCTGCTAATAACACCAGAACCTTTATTCGGTGTTGATATAATTTCAACATTATTACATTGATCGTCTTTTTGACTGACGCGATTTTGACAAAGTTCAAAAGAGCAACGACATTCAGAATTACATTCAAATACTGGCCCAGTTTTATTTATATTTAAACAATTTAATGAATTATAATTAATACCAAAGCGATTTGAACACGAACATTCTGCACAAGTATCATTCAATGAACAAGAACAGCCGTCATATTGTTCATCGTCTTCATCGGCCGATTGAATCAAACAAGAATCAATATACTACAAAACGAGGGTTTATTTTTAATGTTTTTATTTCTTCATAATTTACAATCATAACAAAAAAAAACAAAGGTCCTACCACAAAAGGTGTTTTGTCTTTCAAAGCAGTTGCGATGGTTTGATCTTCAATCGTAGTTGTCATTCTGATGGAAGTGTAAACGATATAGCTGTTAGATCATTCGTACGAACTAATGCTGTTGGTATATGACCAATAAATGTTTGTAGATCTTGTACTAAGACTTGCGAAAAATTCGAATCTATACTAAGACAATGAGCAGCAATTAATGATGATTCACGATGAAAATCAAGTTGAATAGGTGAAATATTTTTATTTGATTTTATATATTCGAGAACATTTAGAAAACGTGAACGTAATTCTGCACGTTTTTCTTGTTTAGTTGCAGAATTATCAGGAGCTTGATTAGCTAATGCTAAACGAAAGGCTTCGAGACCATCGTCCTGATCAATATTAGACATCTAAAATAAATTAAATTGTATAATTTTCTTCATCTTAGCAAGACATACACTGAAGTTTTTTTTTCAAGAAATAATAATTGCATGCATTTATCTTATTACATTAAAACACGCAACAACATATTCATTAAAATCTAATGTACCTGTTTGATTTACATCAAGACTACGAAAAGCTGCTTCAGCATTCCTCTCAATTGTTTTCCAATTCATATTGAGCATTGAAGCAATATAAAGTTTTCCGGAAACCATTGCGATCTATTACATCGTTTGGATTAGCATAACTAGCAAATTCAGCTCGCAATCGTTGAATATCATTGATAGACCAGTCGGTTGTATTTGAAAGAAAAATATTACTTTCATAGGAACCTTGATTTTGATTCATTGGTAATGAATATGGTCCCTGGCTAAAAACAGGTGGTATTGATGCATTGTTTTGATAGGATGGACCACCTCCACGCGGTACTTGCAATTGGATTTGAACCAAGGGTGGGCCAGATTGCATATGTTGATGTTGTGAAATATTTTGAGCAGGACCTTTTAGTCGTTTTATTACATTACCCATAGTTAGTCGACCGTTTTAGAAAAAATGCACATCTCACTGTTTCTTGTCAAACTAACAGTGTTGTATTCATATGGTTAACAATATGTCGTTATTTATGACATATCATCGATAGGAAAACAATGAGACAAATCATATGTTATAGGTAAACATAGACGTGACTGATGTGAAACCTTTCGAAAATTCCTATTCGTTGATCTATTCATTTTTTTCGCATTCTTACCGCTATGCATCAGACAGTAATTATTTTGTATAATTATGAGACATAAATACATACATTAATTTCATGTAACGGTAAAAATCGAAACTAATCAAACAAATTAATTTGTAGAATAAGGCGGTACTTATCTAAAAAGATATCATATACAATTTAGTAATAGTGTCATAATTATGATGGTGTAAATATTTTAAAAAAACGTATGCATTGTCCCATAGAAGGTGTTTCATTATGAATTCATAGGTATATTTCTATTGATATTCTCTAAGGGTAGAAATTCTTTTTCAGCGGCATCGTCGATGCTTACCTTCATGTGGAGTGCTATGTGAAAAACTACAGTTACGTTGATCTACTGACTGATGTGAATGAGTCATTGCATCATTTTTAAAATGAATTCACTTATGCACTTGTATATTTTATTTTTTAATCTGAAGGAAATAACAAAAACTAATGATACACAAAAATTAGGCGTAGCTGCCAATATTTTTCTATAATGATTTCGTTCTGGCGCTTTTTATTTTTTTTAAGTCTATTCATATCATTCACTAACGACATCATAGATATTCTTCGTTGCATTGGGTTCTGTTGTCATTAAGCGACTAAGCAACATGAACAATCAGACCAACACGATAAATGAAGTAGTTTATTCACAACAGCTCTAGATTTATATATATTTTTATTGTTTGATAAATGATTGTTGTATGATAGTATTAAATGCAAATGAGCTTTAATTGGGATGCGCATAAACTCATTCCGATCTTGATATTATTTCTAGCAGAATGCGTGAACGACCACTAGAGCCCATTGGGTACAAGAATTTATGAACCGGGCCGCAGACCCGTACCCGACTGATTAAAATTTTAGGACCCAGGGCCGATTGATCAGGATTTTTGAATCCACACCCCAGGTCGATGTTTACGGAATCCGTGGGTGTGGGTGTGAGTGTCAATAGTAATGCTTACAACTCACACCCTCTTTCTTCGCCCATGTTTCTCACTTTATTTCCTCCATAAATATAGTTTGTCTCTTTAATAAGGAACACGTATTCATTTGTGCCGTTCTTATTTATTTAACATGCATATCTAACTTAACATTTTGTTTTGCTGACGTTTCTTTATCTTGTGATTTTTTCTATCTTATTCAATTATATTAGCTTACCTTTTTTAAATAATGTCTCAAAATAGTAACTCAACAACTTCATCGGATTGAAATGTTTTATATAATTTGAATAGCGATTATGATTCGAGTAGAAGTGACGCACGTAACTTGTCTGTTTCTATGACTTACGTTATAGTGCACTACGTAATTTTTTCAAGACTATCATTGTAAAAATTAACAGATATGTCTGGCATACTAACATTGGCTTTTTTTGCTATTTTAATGTAAATTTTGATTCTGATGAAAATACAATACCCAGGTCGAGAAGTTCGAGTCGGTTCCCGCAGGTAAACATCGGAAATTGACGGAACATGGAAGCAGTATTTTGATAAATGGATCTGGTGATCGGATTTGTCCGGTTCCACCCGGAACCGATAGTGCTCTGGCAAAAGCGACAGCCGGATCCGGCCACCACCCATGTCAGAAAATACGGCCGTTTACGGTGTAAAAACGATATCTAAATGGACCGTATACGGAGAAAATACGGTATCGTTTACAGTACCGTATTACTGCACCCAGTACTACGGGAAAATACGGACAGTTTACTGTCGTAAAGATGTCGTTTTCCTACCGTTTACTTTCAGAAAACGGACCGTAAACGATATCCGTTTTGATCGACCTGGGCATCTCGACCAGAAATTCACGGAATACTGCTTCAGGAATCAACGCCAATGCATCATTTTCCATCCATTTTATATCTACACACTGACAAGATTTCGCTCGAATTTAACCATAGGAAAGTCATATACAGCAAGTAGAATGTCAAAAATAACCAAAAAATGTAATCATGTGATTCCCACACGATTGCAGCCATTTGATTTTAAGAAAGAACAAAACTTAACAACTAGTTAATCTTTTAAAGTAATTACCCAGGTCGAACAACACGGTCCGTTTACTAGAATCAGTTTTACGGACCGTATCTCTAGTGTAAAATAGCCGTAAGTTGCCGTATTTTCACAATGTACGGTTCATACTACGCGTCGTTACTGAACACAGTAATACCAAATCGTTTACGGTGAAAATATGACTACTCACGGCTATTTTACAATAGAGATACGGTCCGTAAAACAGATTCTAGTAAACGGACCGTAACGGAGTTCCGTTTTGATCGACCTGGGTACTTTTAACTCAGATTCTCGCAAAATCGCTTAATATTTCTACTTCAATTCTATCTCTTGATTAAATTCGACGGCGTAAATGTATCAATAACATGAAGACCCCCTTTTTTTCCATTTCATCTGTTCTTTTTATATGTACCTCGTCCTGCCAGGTTCATAGCTATAATTATTTCTCCAGGATTTATTATTCATTGTATACAATTTAATTACAGTCTAACGTTAGTCTCGTTGACGTTTTTCTGCTATCCCAGGTCGTGGACGTACGGCGGGAAACGGCCGGAAAGCACAGGAAAGCGCTGGAAAGTGGAAGCAGTATTTCAGTTGGAAGTTACCGGATTTTTTTCTTGTAGATTCCGATCAACTTCCAGATGTAAAACACAGAAAACTGACCGGAAAACACAGGAAACTGCCGGAATCCACAGGAAAAAAATCCGGTAACTTCCAACTGGAATACTGCTTCCAGTTTCCAGTGCTTTCCCGTGCTTTCCGGCCAGATACGGTGATTTTTCCGCATCTTTCCGGCCGGTTCCTACAGTATCCGTCCTCCGGAATCATTGACCTGGGTATTATTTTGCTATGTTCGATTGCCTCATATGTAACAAGAGTTTCTCGTTCTTTGGTCGATTCATTAACTACCGAATGACAAATTTTGTTCTAACCAACCATGTAATAAAACATATTATTTTTAACGTAGAATAGGAGTAACAACTAAATCTACATCATATTCATTGGCTAATACTTGTTTAGCATATTCTAAACCGAGTGTTCCAGTCACATGCGAAAATTTATGGCACGAGAACGCTGTGAGAAAACGTATCCAGATGTATCTAAAATGAAGTATCTGACGCGTCCTGTTAGAGAGTACTCTAACAAAGCTTATTTATTATTGAATTCTTATACGTTCGTGTTTCATCCTATATGTCGTGTTTCTTATATGTGCAATCCAATTCGAACATGCACATACGTCAACCGTTAGTTTTTATTCTTTCCTTTCTCTCTCTCTTCATATCTCTCTATTGTATTTTCTTTCCTCCCGACCGTGACTATGTAAATACTGGTATCGTTTCTTCTTCTAGAATTAAGGGCATTTATAGAATGATGCACAATCATCTTTATATACAAAATAGTCTAGTAGAAGAAACAAATGTCCTTTCTTCTTTCTGCCTTGAGTTCTCTCTCTCTCTCTCTCTCTTGTGTATGCATTGTACAGTATAAATAGGGAAAGAAAACGAATAATAAAACAGATCAGAATAGATCAAGATCGGATCAGATTGGAAAATAGAAACGTGCATTTCTACGTTGTGAAATTGAATTACGTTACAGCTGGGCCTCTGTAGCACGTCCTATATCCTATTGCACACATAGATGCATCTTAATGAATTTAGATCACCATCGCGTTTGAAGAAATATTTGGGAAAAAATAACAAGCTTTTCTCACAGGTTTGCTCTGCGCCACCATCAGAGCTATACAATTGGCAGCTCTATCCTAGAGGTATAGTACAGAACAAGTGATTTAACTTACGCGAACAAAGTATATTGAATGAAAGTTTTCAACAATGAAGCTTTTGAACAATTTTTTTTGCATTCATTTAGCACGAAGTGGGCATATTAAATGTCCAGACGAGGATTGCGAGGTCTCTGTGGAGATTGGTTAAGACCAACGAAATCTAACAAAAGACCAACAACAATTAATGTGGTCACATGTGCAAAATGCGCATCAAGGTTTATTTGAAAAATTATTAGAAGAATTTTCAAAAAAGCAATTTATATCAAAAGAAAAAGAAGTTAGTATTTCTTATCGTTTTAAAATGTGATTTAGTAAGATAGAAATTAAAAATTATCTGTAATACAGTCTAGACGCGAATTGAGAGAGCCCACATAGTGGTGATGCAGACTTTGATTTGCATATCTTTTTTTTATAATATCGCATACTCGTTTTAAGAAAACTAAGGGGCAAAAAGACGATTGTGATTGTTGCTCTGTCTCTTGTTCTCCTTTTCTTTTAATTTTACCCCTAGTACTACCAGCCAAGGATATATCATAAATCATATTCTAAGAAAATTCAAAAATTAAAATCAACCGTTTTCCTATTTTCCTGTCATGTCGTTATCAATTAGAAATTTTCTTTTGTTTTCACCATGCATCATATTTTTGATGCTCAAAATAGATTTGATAGTACTGTAGCTAATTTTCACTTGAACGCCAAAGGATCAATATATCGCAACTTTGTTATATGTAGATATACAGAAAAAAATTCTTTCTTTAGCTAAACGTTTATATTTCAAATAAGACTACTTTAGTCGAACTTGTTAGTATTAAATAAAAATAAAGAAAAACATCAATTTAGTCAGCGATACATCATTCGCGTCTTGTCGCCCCTTAAATTCTCTTCCACGTAGTGCTCTTTTTATATCTTTGTTTTTAAATTCAAGCGTGAACAGAAAAAAAAAGATCACGATAAAAGAAAAATAATCAAGTTCGATATCGTCATTACGACTAATCATGAATTA